GATAATTCAACAAGACCTTCAAATTTCTCCACCGCCACCGCAGCCTTCGGAGAATCCATCTTTCATCGAGACGCGAGTCGAATGCGTCACCGATTCTCAAAGCGGAGGTTCGATTCGATACATGCGATTCCCTCTTCGCCCAGGTCCCCGGGAGGGTTCTGAAACCCTTAAATGCTTCTCCACGAAAATGTCGAGAATTCCACAAGGATTGGAACTTAAGCCTCTTCGGAACCGAGGCCATCCATCTCGGCCGTGTGTGTATCGAGCGAGAATCCAAAAGTAAACTTCGCCAATGTTAGGACGCTCTCATAAGAACCTTGGGGGGCTCGGCGAAGAGTTTCGGTCGTCAGGATGCCGATTTTTTGGGCGTTCGAAACAAGTCGCGGTCTTTATTTTCCGGGGAAGTCTTTGAGAAAACTTGCTCGCGTCGTTACAGGTTGTCGTCGGCGATAGAAACCGCTCCGATTATCGCTCGTCGATGAATATCTGAGCAACACCGAGATCTCGGAACCGAAAACCGAAGCAGCATGCGCTTGCTCGGGTGTCATGCCCCCGAAGGGTTTCCAGTTTTGCTTGACCGTAGCTCTGACGATGGAGACTGACTTTCAATCGGGATTCCCCAAGTCCGCGACCACACTCGAAACCTGAGACGCAGTGTGTCAACTCTGTGCATCCCCAGTATATGCAGCATATTCTCTTCGTAAGATCATCTTGTCATCAAAAATGAGACTCCCTACAGAAAGAGCCTTCTAGCCTCCGGGATGACCTCCGATTCGAAAACTGAGTGAATAATTCCTGCGCGGAAGAGCCTCCGTTTCGTAGGACCAAGCTGCTCATCTATGGGGCCCCGATTATGCGATTATATCATTATTCGAAAGACCGATCAATATCGTTGTCAGAGGTTTAGTACCTCGGAGCTCACGGTCATAGGTCTGATCTATGGACTTATCCGACCCTCATGTCCCAGGTTCCGCTCCACTCGTCAGCTGAGTTGGGCTCCTGCGTGATCGAGGTCGCTTTTTGCTTCGCCTTGATCACTGCACAGCGCCTCCGCCCATTCGAGTCTGGGGGTCCAGCAACGAAATGATGAGCATACGCTGAGACCATCTTCCCCGAGTCCATTCCTCGAAAGATCCGAAAGAAAGGGAATCAGTCAGTGTCAGCGTCGAAACATCGTGTCTTCAAGAGCCTCGGGCGGCACTCACTTTTTGCGGAGTACGCGGAGCAGGGTGACATTTCGTGACGGCTCTGGCGCACAAGCTTGAGCATTCAGCGACATTAGCCGCCGAAAACTTTCTTGTCTTTCGAGCTCATTTCTCCACTCCATGCCTGATCGGCGCGACCTCGCTCCAAGCCCAAGCCGCCTGAAATACTATACGCCCCGACATGCGGGATTGAGTCAATATGAGAGAGACACGAAACGCCGCGGGGGTTATACTCCTCGTCCTTCGAAGTATCTGGTTTCGCCTAACATTCTGAGGGGTCTTACTTCTATAGAGTCACGTCAGAGCTTGGGCTGCTTGGGAGTCCGGGCGGCAACATCGAAGTTGAAGCCCTTTCGCCTCTGCGAGTTTTTCATGTCAACACCATTGCCAGGAAATCCACGAATGCATTCTTTCATCCCTTCGCAACAACGAGGAGCCCCGGAACCCTCGAGGAGATGATGCCCCTACCGGAGCTCTTTCCGATCGAAATGCAGCCGACGCGTATTCCCCACCGTCTTCTGAGCATCGAGTCGGTTCAGATCGAGGGAGATAAGTCGGTCGGGGATTTCCAGTCGCGGATCAGATGCCAGAGATCTCGTTCTCAATTTTGGAGTCTCTCGCGTTCCGATTGAGCGCGAGCTCTTTCGACATCATCACGGAAGAGAGGATTGCGGGACCCGCGGAGAAATCCTCCCCTGACGAGTCTTCTGCCTCGATTCAGCTGAGCTGGAGGACCTCCGGCCCTCAACCCGAAGCCGGCCGGCGAACTCTTTTCGCTCGATAAGACCTCCCGACGGATGCCGTCGAACTCGAACGATTATAGCTTCCTAATCCACTAAAGCGCGTCACACGGCGGAATCCATTAGCGTCGCGTCGTTCCTAGGGCTGCTCTAGCGGTTACGGCCTCAGCATTCCCACGACGAACCGCGGCTCCAAGCGAGGGTTTTCCCTATCGGACCTCCGCACACGTTTTTTTCTCGGAACTTTCCCGCATGATCGAATGGACCCGAGACGAATGCATCGATCAGAGCTGACCAAGACGGATTCCTGCTCCAGAGACTCTGCTCTGTCTCTTCATTTGAATGCTCTAGCTTTGCCGAATCGATCGAGCTCCATCCATGGAAGGCAGTCGCTTCCGAACGGCGCGTCTCCAAGCAACATCCTCCGATCAATGCGGCGCAGGCTCGACTCTCTGTCTTCTTCCTGCCGTCTCCCGCATTCCTTAATGCTGGCCATTCCACGGGATGTTCGGCTGGACAGCGCGCTGTACTTCCATAAGCCCGTGCGAGGCAATGACTGCCCGCCGTTTTTCCACCTAGTCGCGGTGTGAGATTTCGCAAGTTTCTCGCGAGGATCTTCCGCTACCGCCGCAAGAGCGACCCGCCGCTTACAATTAGGTCCGAACCTGCCGACCAGCAAGGCAGCCAATTACGTAACCAACGAAGTAATCCGTTTGGCAAAGATCTTTTTTTTGCCACTACGATCTATGGTACGGTGCCGTCCTGTTGACCCAGTTCGCGTAGCCGGTTGCTCGTTTGGATTTAGGAGGATCCGCGCAGAGCCGAGGGGCCGCACGGTGGGCCAGCAACCGAGAGAGTGTGCAAGTCAGCGTGCGAGCAGATGAATGAGTGAGCATGCGAGGAAGGCCCCGCTGCTCCCGCTCTGCGTTCTTTGCCGCTGCCGCTATCCATGGTGTTGGTGGTTGTCGGACAGGCCCCGCTATGCGTTGCGTGGCGCCGTCTAGCGGCGTTGTACGAAGTGCTTGGAGGAGGAAGCAGTGAGCAGAGGCTCGAGCGAGCCACTGAGCCAGGCCGCCAGCCAGCCAGTCTCACTTTCCGACCCCCAATGCGACGTCTGTGGACGAGACAGAGTCAGTTGAGTTTTACTCTGGCAGGTCGCTCTGCAGGCCGAGCAGTGATCCCGAAGGCCGCTCAGCCGGAGTAACCCACGGGCGTCCGACGTACGTAGACCCTTGCACGCTTGCACCTTTGGCTGAACGGCCTCTTCGTCAGGCGGCGGTCGGTCGGTCAGTCGGAGGAGAGTCGAACTGGCTGACTGGCCCGTGTTTCCTTCCATTCTGGTGTTGACGGTGGGGATCAGCTGCCGGTGGCTCGATCGCACGAACAAAAATCCCACCGCGTGATCAGGTGTGTGAGACCCTGTTTATCATGACGGCGACAATAACAAGCCCATTGGAGAGTTGCGTCGTCAATGCGAGCGGAGAAGCGCCGTTTGATTCTTCGGAGGAGATGGAGAAGCGCCGCGTTCCTCGCCGTCCCACCGAGGCCACCGCGAACACTGCTGCCTCCGCCGCAGGTGCCACCAGCGACAACGACACCCATTACATTTTCATTAGAGAGAGCCGCAACAACATCTACGACAACGATGAGTGCGAGCAAATTCGATACACCGTCGTCACCAAAAACCGCATCGACGCCGCTCTCTTGTGCCACTGAATCAGAAGCTAGAACTTGGCCGCTAATTGGTTGTGTGTGATTGTGAGAGTGCTGTGGATTCATGCTCGAGCACACGGCAGGCGTGAATTGTGCGTCCGTTCGACTATTTTCCACTCCAGAGCAACCTCGAACAATTTACCTTCGACTACGCGTTAAATGCAGAAATCCCACTATTTATCGAGCATCTAGAGCCGCCACGTTGAAGTCGACTTCTGCGACTACCGATGATAAAGCAACGCCGTCGACGACGACGATTAGGAGGAAACGAGGACGACCGAGTAACAGATCACACTGTCTTAAAGTGTCCGAATCGTTAACTTCTTCCACGGCACCTATCACTGATTTCTGTGCGAGGACCGCTCAAGCGAGATGTTGTGGGTTCATTCCGTTTGAGGATCGCCGTGATCTTCCCAAGCCAACGGTCGGCAGAGGGATAAGGTCGCCAATAACTCTACGGGAACGGCCCGAGAGACATCCGTTCCGAGGATCCGCTGCAGGAGAAAGCTCTGTCCGAATCGAGTTCGTCAGTCGATTCCAGGCGGCGACGATAGCCCACGAGAGATTCTGCCATTGGAATCCCACAACAATCAAGCAATCAAAGCCTATCACATCAATCCATTGAGCAATCATCGGCGACTCGAAGCAAGCCCCTCGAGGTTCGCGAATTTGTTCGTGAATTTTTGACTAGACCCTCGTGATTTCAATAGCCTATTCATTTGCTCATGTGGCCCCGCTTCCTTCGAAAGTGATTCCCGCGATAGCGCATCCCGATAGGAAACGTGAGCCGTATATCTTTCTGGCGAACTATAGCCAAGAAGACGTCCTTCGCAGCATATATTATAACCGCAGTCGATGCGAACGTTCCGGAAATATACACCAAACCATTATGCGAGAATGGAGTCTTAGTTGAGAGAAAAAACCTGAAAGCGAGTCAGCCAGCCATTGTTTGTCGTGCTGTATCATCCTGCAGTCGCGAGGTTGTGAGCCGGTGTCCGCATCGGCCTAGTTCTATCGCTCTGTCTCACGGACCACGACGTTTTGAGTCGGAATATCTAGTAGGGAAGTCGTCGTATAAGCGTTCAAACGACGGAAGGAAAGCAGCCTCCCCCCTCCAGCTTGATGAATGATCCACACTGACGCATCATACCCTCAAACAAAAGAGGAAGAAGGAAAGCCAATCGCAGAAGACGGCATCCCTGATAAATCGACAAAGCTCCCGAAGAAAAAGCCAATACGCGACAGAGGCCAAGGGTCAAATCGCATCAATTGCGACCTACGGTTTTCAAAACATCAATATACTGCCAGGTTGGAAAGTTGAACGGGACGCTCGAAGATCATCATGTCTCGAGCTAAAGACGTACAGTCGCTCCCACTTGCCAGTTCAAGCGCGGACAGGGCCTTTGTCACCGAGCGCGCCGCCTCACCCGAAGGTGAGTTTCCTCTAGGTTAGGGACCGGACCTTCCTTTCTCTGAGAAGACCCTGGGGCATACATACAAACTATGTAGCTACATAGGTACTTGTGATTAGGTTGACTAGAGGTCATGTAATATCCAAAAAGTGGACGGATGTTCGTACATGTTCAGAATACGTGGGACGGAAGAATCGCTCCAGAGGTCCTGACGAGTTCGCACATACCTATGTCGGCAACATCGCCAGAGAGTTTGCCGGAGCAAAGATGTCTCAGGGTGACCGTGCGACGGAGTCGATTCGTCGCATCCGGGCTCTATTATATGGGTCTTTTTCTAGGGAGAGATCCTTGTCGACGTTGTTCCCCAGGCGGCAGCCAGCTCTTCGAGCGTGAAGCGTCCATTAGACCATTCCGTCTGATGATCGAAGCTCGATGCGTCTGCGTGGATCCCGCTAAATCCGCGCGAATAGATCATACTCTTCGAAAAGAGCTATGCCTTTCCTTTCCGATGAGCACGCTAGGATTTCAGAGGCTTCCCACGGTCTCCAATTTTCAAGAAACCGATTCGTACACCCATTCGAAGTTCTCAAAAAAGTCACCGGACAGTTGTCGAAAAGGAAAATTACTCGAGGGGAATCCCGCTCTTTTCGAAACCTCCTCAATCCTCAAAACGAAGGACGGAACGCGACCAAAGAATATTCAGCCACTCTTTGATGAAGGGCCTCCTAAGGAGAATGTATGACGGGACTGAACGCAGCCCCTCATCCGAACACTCTCGGGAGTTTTCATTCACTTACTTAGCAGAGGGTGAACTAGGAACGCTGTCGTCGACCTAGACCCGCGTGTTGCTCCCTGCCCGGAGAAACTGGAGGGCTTTCCGAGGTCAGAGCGTTGAAAAGGCTGGCCGAAAAGCTGGCGTGTCGCTGACGGCGACCTGCCCCATCAAGGAAAGAATGAGGAGCCTTGTATCCTTCTCCTGATGAACACGCGACCCGTCTTCATCGCACTTGACAGAGTTCCTGAGAACAAAAGGCGCAATGTCGGGTGTTAACAGCTCCATTCGCTGCGTAGTTCCGTGAAACTCTTCCTCTAAAGCGAGTGAGAGGCATTAATTCCTGAGGCTTTAGGTGGGACCAGCCGAACCGCGGCCTTGTTGGCGAGTCTAGGCAACATCTCGCATGAGCGGGAAACGCGCTTGTTATCACTTTTCAAACTTCCTCTCTGACGTAATACTTCACACTCGAGGCTCAGCGGACAGCGGCATTCGCGAGCGGTAAACAGATTGGGCACGCTGTCGATAGAGCAGGCATCGATGATTGCTTCATCTTTCTCTTTTTTCATGAAGGAGAGCTTTATCCCACCCGGAGATCAAAGCGCTTCAGATTCCTGAAATGGGGGACTGACCATGTGACCGAATTGGCTTGACCGAAACCGCTTGACCGAATCCGCTTGACCGAATCCGCTTGACCGAATCCGCTCGACCGAAGCCGTTTGACCGGATTAGGCTCCTCCTAACTTCGCTGGGCGATTCGTAAGACCGATCAACCGTCTGTTGCTGTACTCTGAAATTCATTCGGAGGTATCCTCCCGGATCCCCGAATCGCACGTCCCCGAATCGCATATCCCCGACTCGCCTACCTCAGGTCAGGATCAGGTTCTAACATTGACGCGAGATCGAATCGCTCCGAGGGAATCTTTCCGGTCGAGACGAATAGCGGAGCTCAATTTGCGACCAGACGTCTAGCGTCGTTCGCGAGAGCTACCGCGCGTCCCGAAAAGCCGTCTCGCATATCAGATTTATGCAGAGGTGTGGGTCATCTTACGACGAGATTAGGTTCTTCCCGCGGAAGATTGATTATCCTGTCCGAAATGAGCAGAGATGAACCACGGAGGTTTGACGGTGGAGTGATTGTGATCCTTTCGTGAGCTCTGTGCGGTCGGTAACCGCCTGCTCTCTCCCGTACGCTTCGTTGGTCTCCCGCACCGCTGACAGAGGCAAAAGCTTATCGATGGCGCGAGTACAAATTACCCGTCCCGTCCGCGGGCGTAGGGTTCACAGCGATCTCGATGGAAACGAGCAATCGCCCTATCCCCGGTCGGGGGCTCGTTACCATTCTATCATACGGTTGTCTGAAGGGTCGACATCGAGGGACGGAACGATTACAGTCGCGTTCCACTGCGAAACCCTCTGCATTCGATGAAATTCTGGTTGGGAATCCTTCGCATCAACACCCTTTGGGCAAGCGAGGGAAACATCCGAGTTCGCTGCGGATCCTCCCGGGGATAATGACAGCTTCCACAGCGAATCACGGAATAAGGAATGATGGACGTAAAACCTTGTGTGCCGACAGAAGCCCATGGTGCCAGAGAAGAGTCGATCGATCGTCTCTCTCTTCTGGCATGTCCCTCGGGAATGAAGTTTTCGCAGGATGACGAATGGTTTGGCGTGAAGCCATCGTCTGCAAGCCGTCTATTCAAGTTTTCTTCTCTGCTCTATTCAAGCTTGGTGTCTGTCGACAGCGGCGTAGGCGTCAGCTTTACGACGTGAGCTTCTAATAGACCCGCTGCCCATTCATCGATGTAAATATGACACATCTGGGTTGCAACCCCGAGAAATGCCAAATCCTAATGAGCTTACGAGCGTGCCAATGTGTGTTCGAAAGCGCATACAGCCTATTAAGATGCAATAAGTCGCAGACGCGTTTCCAACCTTGGAAACCTTGTCGTACTCCTGTTCGCTGAGGTAAATGAGCCTAGTGGCTGTCGGTGATTCACCCTCGAGAGCGGATCGGAAAGGCTTACCGAGGACGATATCAATACATATTGATATAGAGAATACGGCGCAGATCTGTACCCTCAGAGGAATGAGACTCCTCCCACCTGAAGATGTTCCGACCGTGACAAGGTTGTCCAGCCGGAGCCACGGGACCGGCTCGTCGCTACTGGAACCTGTATTCCTCCGACCCTGGGCCTGAATCCGCCACATGTTTCCTAATGGAGTTGGAGGAATTCGATCCACAATAATTGTATCTGTATCCTTCCGGAGACGGAATTCGAAAAAAGATTCAAACGAATAACAGACCAAGTATTGGAGATTGAGGCTTCTTCAGTTCCCTAGGAATCGAATCGATGTCTCGTTGCTCTGCTGCCGCGATTCCCAGGTGGATATCGGCCATACGCGGTACAACAAGGGCTTTATCGCACTCCATTCGACCTCGGCTATTGGCGTGTTGCCAGCTGACGCCTCGGCCCTCCAATATATACCCCGATGAAAACATACAGCATTGTTGCTCTGAAGCGGGCTTCAGCCGCGATCTGTGGAAAGTGTCAGACGGCATCGAAAAATCGGCGATCACGGAGGGTGGTGAGGCAGGGGACGGTCTTCTTGAGAACAGCCCTTCGAGTGTAGGGCCCCTTCTGTGTCGGCGACGGAGCTCGATCTATTTATCTCGAAGAGATCAAGATTGTCTGTCATTAAGTTGTCGATGAGATCATCTGGACCCTGCGCGATACCCGGCTGGGAAGGAGAAAATCGAGGCCTACAGATTTGCGATCGCGAATGAGTCCCGCTCCGACCACCTGTTGTCGGTCCATCTCAGTCCCTCGGCGGGCAGCCGGATTCCTCCAAAAGAAGATATCGATGAGGATATCAAATATTGTATCTCTATAGAAGATAATCAATTTGTTCACTCCCGCTCTCAGTCCTTCCCTCCGCGTAGCTCGAGCGACGATCGCGACCCCGACGACCTGATTTTATCCGGAGACCGCGGTATCGCGGCGGATCGATCGCGATGAAATCAGCATCCGTACCGCTTCGTCGCGTGAAGTCAGAGAGAGACTCCGATTTCGATGCTCCGTTTTCGAATTTTATCGGCGCCTCCGGCGCTCGTGCCACTCATCCCGGCCGTAACATAGACTGCTCCTCTTTTACGGCCGTACGACATCAGATCAGCGGACACCCGACGGAGTCCAAAATTAAACCGTGACCTACCTCCGCGCTTGCGGACCAAATCACCGACCGATCACCGACTCTTGTCCTACGTCGGCCTTGTCCGTGGCTCGAGCTCGTACTTTGAAAGGTCGACCCTTTTGATCAAGCAGCCGACCGGTTTCTCCGAATCCATGCTGCTGAAAATTTCCTACAAGTTTCTGTTGGCCGCGACGCACTCGGAGCCGCTACCGCTGAGGTTTGAGCTTTATTAAAGCCTAAGGTTTCGCTCGAGAGAAATTCAGAGGAGAAATTCCGCTTCGAATCCGCCGGAAATCGTCTTCGTTGGCGTATCCGAGTTCGCTTCCGCTGACGCGGAAAATTCAACTCGCTTTGAGCGTCAGCCGTCAATATAGAGATTACTTCAACATCCGGACGCACACAGATGTCGAAGTGGACGCATCGATGCGCAGAGTTTCAGTTGGCCTCGAGATGGCCTCAGGGGTCACGTGTGGTACGGTAGGCGCGGAATGCAGAACGAGTTGGCCGACTGGCTCGATGGCGCTGGATCGCTGGCACCGCTAGTTCAGTCGTCGCTATGAGCACCAGAGTTTCGGACAGTTGTTGGACACCGACCGTGAGCTCGACGAAAACTCCCCCTCCTCGAATTCACCTCGCCCGTGTGGGAGACCCACGAAAGAAGGAGCAGACCCCCTCCTATCAGCCCCGACTGAGCGACGTGGCGAGCAATCGACCGACTGGCTGGCGGGATAATGATGAAGTCGAAGAGTCAAAGATGAAGTGCGACTGAAGTCGATAAGCCGAAGATGAAGAGCGGCTGAAGTCGACGAGCCAAAGATGAAGTGCGACTGAAGTTCACGAAGCGGGAGGAAGGTGGTTAAAGGAACAAGAGCACCCCGTTGTTGGGGAGGCAGGTCGGATGCGTCGTCCGTCTCCTCCCACTCGTATCTCGGAGACCTTTCTGCGCGCGCACCGCAAACCCCCAGTGGTTCGCGTGTGGCGTGAGTTACCTCGAACGAACGAACGAATGTAGTCCAGTGCTGCCATCGCCGTATCGGAGCTGAGAATCGAATATCGCCGGCCGCACTTCTTGTCGAAGCGCTGCGAGCATCGACTCCGTTGACTGTGTTCTCTGCACAGCGCCGCCGATGAAGTCTCGGCCGCCTAGGAGACGATCTAATTGTTTCTGACCGTGGAGCTCTCAGTCGGCAATCCGAGTGCTCCAGTCCCACCGGAGGAAAGTGTTCTCTTTCGATTTCATTGAGTGCTGATTCCTCTCCTCTATTGTTTCTCTCGTGGGCTACCTGAAAAGTTCCGTTTTGTGAGTGCTGTGTGGGTTGTGAGCGTGAGAGATGCCTCGGTCGTCGACACACCGGCGAAAAGGGAACTCACTTTAGGATCTCTAAAGACATTTGGTGCTTTCTGTGGCGACGCTCGCTGCTGCAACCAAGACGTCTCGGCCATGTGTTCCCATCGTGTGGCCCCCCTACAGCTGAGGCCCGTGAAGCGAGTTAGCACGTCGAGTCTCGAGAAAGGCATTTTCAGCATTTCGTCGATACTGGCGGAAGGTGAATCCACGCTGTCCCTGTCGTCGTGCTCTCCGAGGCTATCGCGACCCGCTTCGGCCTCTTCCTGTCACAACAAGAAATGTCACCAGGAGTCGATGGAACTAACGCTCAGGCGCAACGAAACACTGCCAAATCTCGAGAGCCCTCTAGTCGAACAGAATCGGGTGCCGGTTCGAGCTCTGGATCAAACGCCGAGCCATGTGTCGACATTCCTCCGGAATCGTATCAGGCCTCCTCCTCCTCCTCCGATCAAAGAGGAGAAAATCGAAGAAGAGCCAGGTTTGTTTTGTCATCTCATTAATACTCTCAACCTTGTCGACTTTGTCACGGAGCGCTCGCTCCGCCTGCTCGACGGTGCTCCTGATCGGAACGGTCTCCCTCTGAACGATCGGATTATTAAATTGTGTTGTGAATAATTCAGATGCACGCCAGTGAATCGATTGTTTGGACCCAAAACGATGATGATGATAACTGCGTCAACGTCGGTAGCGCGCACCGGTTCCTGCTCGTGTTGACGGAGCGGAACGGAGTGAACCCTGCGAGGAATAGCGCAGGCGTTGCTCAGCCCGGCGGGCAGCGATGGGCTGTTTGCGGAACAATTTGCTTATCGAGGTCAGGATCCTCCGACGACGACGACAGATAAGAGCATAGGCCATCCTGTCGCGCTTCGATCTCAGCTGTTTTTTCCCCAACACAACACTATCCCGTGTTTGGCAGTGTAGTCGTTCCGGAGACATCGATACGACAGCGTCTCTCTGGCGCTCGCGGGCTTTGATCCGAATCATCTGTTCTCTCGTCGCCTCTGGATGCATGCCCGGGTTCCGCGGGGAATGACCGCTTTGCGTGGCAGAAGTTCCCGATTGGAGTCATACCAAATGCGCTCGTCTTGGGACGGAGCTCGGCGAGAAGGACTTCCGATATCGCGTTAAAGTCTCATGTTTTTCCGTCCTCTCCGCTGGAAAGGACTCCCTGTCTGGCAGGAGTATCGCGTGCCCCACTCAACCTGATAACTTCTGCGATATCGAAAGAGGTTAATCCCGTCGGCGGGAACTTGGCGGTCTCTCGTGCGAGCAGCAGGAAATCTCATCCATTCACTCACATATTGGTATCGAATCGTTTCGGAGTTCCTTGGACCCCTCGAAAGCATGGCGGAATCGATGCTGGACGCGAGCACGAGGTCGAATGCCGACTGCTCAGTTGGAGGCGAGTTCGACGCAGCGATCGTTGCATGAATATGACAAGACTCGAGTGTCACTTTGTGTTATTCATCAGGTCACCGAGAGACCGTGGCGGGAGGTCTGGAACCCGGTCGAGAACGGATCGAAGCCGGGACACGCCTTAGCATTGGTCTCATTTGATTACTGCTTGAGGAGTGTTCGTGCCAACATCCAATACGGCTGAAATCGTCCGAAATCGGTGTTTGGTGTTCTCGATACGCTATAGCGCTGAGAAAAAATCTCAGCTGAGTCACGAGCAGGGCCGTGGTTTCGTGAGTCTCCCCTAGGATTTATCGACACTGTTATTCAACGGAGTCCATCCAAGAGGGTTCCGGTCCCTTTGAACGTTTAATCCGAATCATTTCGTGGGGAGCGGTATATTTCACGTGAAAATTCTATTGTTGCCATGTGTTCCGCTTGTGCTCTCTCGTCGTTCATGGCATTCCGAACTGAAACCGATTAACTCGTGCAGAGCTGCGTTAGGAGGACAGTATGAGCTTGGGCTCGCACATGAATCGATCCATGTAGCGAGGAATTATTGAAGTCCTCTCGCAGGGCGAGAAGCGGCTCGTCAGGCGGATCAGAACGAGCGCAGACGGCAGCAAGCATTCGTTTGGACAAGGTCCAAGTCTAGAGACGGGAGACTCCGGACCCCATCTGAAATTCAATAGAGGCTCGGAGGGGCGGGCTTCCGACGCAAGGAAGGGGAGCTTGATGAGGAACTCATCCATTTGAGATTTGTGTCGGAATACGGCTGCTCGTTCCCGAAAGGAATGGTTCCTTGACCGTCGTAGGGCGTCTGCTTGTTATCTCTCAGCTCCAACCGCGTGAAGATTTATGTCTGGAGCTCCTCTTCTCCGCGGAGTCTGGTCCCGAGACGAAAATATAGGGAATCAAGGTCATTGGGAACGCCCGGCCATCGGCATATCTCGAGAGTCCCGAGCATTCGGAGAGCTGATTGGGGAGCTAGCGGCGTGTCTCGGTTCCGAGAGATTCTGGATTTCGCAACGAGATTCCGAACCAGCAGAACAGACTCCGCGTTCAGTCAGCAATCCGGTACTGGGAAATGAAACCTTGCGATCCCGGTGACTCGCCAGAGGATCAATGAGAGGTATGGTCGATTCTGTTCCCCTCAATCTTCATAGCCTCCGACGATCCAGAACGTATTGAACAAACGTGGGCTTGATTCGCAAATGAATCCACGAGTGGCCTGCCGGACAACATCGGTCTGGGATCCCGATGGAATATGCGGAAAATCAATCTCGATGCTGCCCTCAAAAACTGGCGGAGTCATTGCGAAGCAAGCCAGACTGTTCGTGCGGCTTATTCGGCCGACACATGCTATCCATCAGCGCTCGGCGTTTTCACATCCAGACAGGATGTGAGGTTGACGGTCGATACTGAATTCTATACGTTGCGCTGGGTTTTTCGATCGATTGTGCTTCTATGTAACACATACATAGGTGTGTTGACGCTCAAGCTCGCTTGTGCGATCTCTCTCTACGCTAAGGGTCTCGCTCCTCTCAACAATATACGATTTCTTTATCTAGACATGACAAACGATATGGAGGTGTGATTAACGCGTGAAACGCCACTCTTCCTTTGGGACTCTCCCCCGAGCAGACTCCTGCTAGGAGTCGGCAAATCCAGCAGGGAGAACCTCCCTGCTGGATGCCGCTCAGCCTACGGGTTCCTGTCCCGTCCGCCGCGGTGAGCTCGGACTTCTGGTGTCAGCGACCGAATCCTCCGATCAGTACTTAGGCCTCAAATCGGTTGATGCAGTTGAGAAGGGGGAAGATGAGAGACTATGCCCCTGTGAAAGATCAAGATTTGGTCGCTGAATTTCGTCTCGATGGCAACCATCGGACTTCGTGGCACGGTTCCTCCGGGGGAAATGTACCGAGAATCTCTTGTATGAATCATTTTTTTCTCTGAACATCGAATCGTCGAGGAGGAGAGACCGAGGACCTCTCGCGAAAGTTCGCGAACGATTTGATACGAGAACATGGTGCCTGACTGAACAACCCCGTTGCTTGTTTTACTTTTGTGACTAATGACGTGACATCCAAAATTATGTCTGACAATCAGACGATCGGATCCTGAGTATCGCCTACACCCAAGGTAGCGAGAAGAGCCGGATGATCCCCTTTCCATCACATAAGTCTAGGAAGGACGCTCGACTTCCGATCGCGGTGAGACCCCCAGCTCCGAGGCGAGGTCGACCTCAGATTTATTTTCTCGCTCGGAGCTGCCCAGAGCGCAAGGCGGCAGAAATATTCCGGGTCAATTGATGAGCCCCGTTCTCATCAGATCTCTTGGCGAACCGTTGACCATGCGTTAGCCGCTGGCAGCGGCAATCCTCATTTTTCTCGACAGGGCTAAGCCGGGTAGGGAAATGGCGTTTTTTTTTGAACGGAGTACCCCATCGCAAGCTATACTCAATCGACAACTGAACCACCCCTGTCGTGCTTCAGGACCCTGGATATACGTGGCTGGTGTGTTACGCTCTCTGAATGAATCCAGGTCGAAAACTCAGGGCATAGTCCTTAATTAGGACCATACTTGAGAGGCTTAACGCAGCCCTTTCTGATCTCCTGCAATCAAACAACTTAGATGATATTCTTTCTCTTTCCAGGACTCAATAAAGGCTCGGACAATGAGGACCTCGAGGAGGAGCCCGAAGTTAGGAATTTGAAGTACTGGGCAACCAAGAGTGAGTCTCGCTATATTCTATGAGTAGTAGAGAGCTACGCTGTTCGTAGAAATGAACACGGTTCAAAAGTAATTTGATTTTGAATGCCCCAGGGATTTTTATCGCAATCCGAACCTGATCCTGGAGGCGCGCTTAGAGCAACTTCAGGAACTTTCGATTATATTAACCGTACACCGCTGCTCACGAAACGAAAATTGTTCTGGATTGGCCCACGCTCATACTCGCACATCGAGCTCACAAGCCTATCATTTCATTTACTATCAGTTTACATGGAGGCGGTGGACTGTTCATAATATTCAGATCACGGACGGACCACACAAAACACCCACAATCTGGATGATGGTCTCGTTCTTGCGATCGACTGAGAATGCGTCGCGGCGGGTCGGGTCCCGAAAAAATAGTGGATCGAGCAGAAGGGAAACAATTGATTCCGAAGCCGAACGTCACACAAAGGGTCGTAGGACGCTATCGGTGGTCAGCACTTTTTCCAACCCCACCCCCAACCCGATGCTCTTCTCCGCGTGCCCGTAGGAATCTACGAGTCAAATAAATGGATTACGACAAGGCCATGCGATCAGAATGAAATTGATGACCACCCGCTCGCCACGTGGAATATCCGGCGCAGCACGTAGAATTCGATTATTGTTCGGAGCGAGATTCAACGATTCTGTTGTTCAAATTCCACCGCAGCGCACGCGAATGGGGTCGAGAGAGCGCTCCAATATCTCGCATTTCGCCCCGCGAATGAAAAAACGAAATTCTTGTGAGCGTACTGTCAGCTCCTCCCTATCGGCGATCCTTCTCTCAGTGGGCTCAGTCAGTCGAATACTTCTGACGGTCTCCCGGAATGGATTAGGTTTTGAAAAGTGAGGGGATTTCTACAAAATTCGTCGAGTGCACGCTGATGTTTATCAAGATCGCCATCAATTTGGCAAGACGCGAAAAGCCCCCGCTGTCCAGAAGATTGATCGACCGAATCGCTCACATCTGGACACCGAGTATTGTCGTTCGCTGAGAGCGGCTTTGAGCGCGAATTCCGAGAGACTCGTTCCCTAGAATGATCCCTGGAGCCTAACCCTCGACGAGACTGCTTCGTATCCTTTCGAGTTCCTTGCGAGCCGGCCGTCTACTTTGCGATCATATGAATAGCTAAGCGGAGTCGACCGAAAGGCTAGCTCCATGCGACGTCGCGATGACAGCCCCCTTGATGTGTCGATAATGTCATGCGTCATTCATACACCCCGTCAATCCAGTTGACAATATTCGCAACTCAAGCGTATGGAATTTTTTTCCAGTTGGCCACGTCTTCCGGAAGGTCAGACCGACGAAAAAACGGCGGAAAACGAGCTATGGATCACTCTTCTCGTCCTTAGGTGGGTCTATCAATCTTGGCTTCCTAGTGTCACTGAGGAGAACGCAAACGGGATGGCAAAGCTAATTCGAACACAGCGTTCAGACCCATGGCACGGACAAAGTTCACTCGACCGGTCAAGCGAGCGAGGAACCATAGCGAGTTGCTCTCTCGCTCCCGATGGAATAGTTCCCGCAGACTTGATCGAAATTCCAGCATGATTCGAGCCCATGACTGTCCTAGCCTAATTGCATATAGACTGATCTTATTAAGAATAGATTCAGATGGGATTCCTTCGAGCTGTAAATAGTCGAGAGGCGAAAGAGGTCCGAACGTATGCTCCTACTCTTCTATTCTGATGGAGTCAAGATCATATCGCCGCCTAGGGGTCACCCTCATAGCATGACTGTTGCCCTCATTAGAATATTGGAATGAACTTCCACGGCTCGACGTCTTTCTTGAGCTCGGGAACGCCCGATGCCAGAGAGTGTGTTTCAGTTTTTGAGGAAGCCTGATTCTGACCATGAAGTATTCGAGGGCTGATCTACATAAGAGTAATCTGAGCAAGCTGGTACCGAGACGCAAGCTATGGGAATTATTCTCGACGCACTCCGCTTGGGCTAATGGTATATCCAAATTCTCACGTTTTTGCTGGTGACCGCCAGCTTTCGTTCAAGTTGGGTACGTTAGATTTCCACTTCGAAGATTCCGCGCCTAAGCGAGGGGCCGAGAGGTTTCGTAATCATCGGGTCGCTCGTCTAACTCAAATTATTCGAGTTGCTGATGTAATGAACTCGCTGGCATTTGAGGCAGTCGGCTCCTGACCTCTGTGCAATGTCATTCGCTCTCCCAGAGACATTCATAGCCCTATCCAGTCCTTACTTCGCGAGGTGCTTATATTGATAATGCTAACATGGCTCTTCTTTCCGCAGGTGGTAAGTACGGGAGCGTCATTGTATGTCGAGGAGCAGCCCATCACGAGGCCACAATACGTACGACACGGAAAACAATTTATCGCGTATATACGCAGACGAAGTGGAGCGAGGCAGTCGCTCGTCGGGATCCTCTATACAGCACTCGACGTTAATCAGATACGAGCTGTTGAAATGGATACACATGGATGCAATCGACGTTCGCTTATGGCAGAAAGTCATTCCGGCGCGAGTGGGCCCACACAATGATCCACGAGCCCAATTGTCGAAACGAGCGTATGCTCAACCCGAAGACACAGCAGCGGGAACTGTGACCCGCACAATGGTCCAGCTTCTGATGCGCTTGGCTGCCGCCCCGAAGTACTCTGGTAACGGAATCTTTCGAGGGATGCATTGAGCGACTGGCAGCCCGCTCGCAGTCGCTGCGATTGTCCGTCCTCAAAGAGTTTCCGTCATGGATCGTTTTATTTCTGATGCTGACGCGTATACAGCAGTTGCTGAAGGTCCTACTCCGCGTGAGATTTCGAACCGCACGATCAAACTGCGGGAAACAAGCGGAGCATCGATGCGCGGGAAGTTCCTCCGACGCGCAGTGCCTGGTCCGAGATACGGACAACGTTTGTGAGAAAGTGAACCAGCCCTTTGCATTCCTTCAATGGTCGCTTCGCGAGACTCAATGGGGAGAACACCTGCTCGGAGAGAATCGTACGTGATCCTCAGCTCGAACGAGTGGAGTCGAGGGAGTCAGGAAGCTATAAGAGCTCTCTCAACACCGTGCTCGCAATCATTTCTGCGTGATGCCGGGACCGCTTTGGAGCATTCCTCCGCGATACCGGACGGTCATAAGCACGAGCAATCGAGGAGGCCCGGGGCAAAAGCCTCGAATCGCCCTCCTCCGGCAACAGAGAGCTGTCCGTCTTTCATCCCATATCTTCCGACTGCCCCTACTTCTTCGTAGTGTTTTGCGCAGGAGGTAGTACATCGAGCTCGTCATTGGACCCTGAGCGGTGGTCCGGAAGGAAGTCGAAGGTGCGAAGAGACTCGTCGGCACAGGGATGAGATCGTCCGAAAGTTTTTTCCCGGGACGACGACCACCATTCAGCGCGATTCTTGAAAGAAAAACTCTCTCCTCGGACCTTCAAGGTTGAGGCAGCCTTTCGGACTTCGAGACGCTCAACATTCCTTCGAATGTCCGACTATACGATCGATTCATGTTCTCAGTAAGAGAAGCCGTTTGGGAATTCGCCGAGGTCTGGAGTGCTCCCGTGTATGAGTTCTGAGGCGAGTGAGACATGTTTTCAAAGCGAGCTAATGGCTCGGAACATGTCGATGATGCACTGTCCTCCATCGAGTCTGAATGCGTCTCGATAAATCATCCCTGTTGTCGTATTGGAGAACAACAAACACCGATTCCCATCCAGCGAGAAAGAGAGTCCTCAGTGCGGGACGTCGACATTCTGGACTAAACATTACCCTTTTCGTGGTGGAGCAGCTCGCAAAAGGGTGACCCTATAATTCTCAAAAGAAACTGCGAGTGCGAAAAGGGTTAGGAGGACTGAGGGGAAGGTAGGAGGAAAAGGTTAAAGAGCCATAGGAAAAAATGCATTGACTCACTACCCACAAGAGTGGAAAATTCAACTGGAGTGTGGGGCTCATGTACATGAGACCCACTAAGAAAACCTAAGGCTCTTCACCAGAAGAGAGAGAGCGGATAGTGTTGGATTTGAAGAGTTTCGGGTCATACATCGGAGGGAAGACATGAGGGAAAGGGCATTCCAGAGATGGGATGTGCGGGGAAAGAACTGGAGGCGAATTGAGCAGTACGATTGGAGGAAAGTTGGACAGAGTAGGGATGCTGCTTGGTACTCTTTCTGGTTACACGGGCGTGGACCTATACGGAACTTCTGCAACTCGTGTGAAGGCACCCCACTCTGCGGATCGGACGGCATATCATTTCCCGAAAGAGGTTCATGGCGGGATACTCGTGCCGAGCACCTCTGGGACACGAGAACTGGCCGAGAATGCGGCGGACGAATTCTATATGTTACCCGGCTCTCTTGCCTTACTGAGTGAAATCGAGCTCCGATTTAGACATTTGAGACTTTCGCTCTCAGGAGATGCATGTCGCGTGGTGCCTGCTTGTTGGAGCATACTGCCCCGAATCGGTAACTCCCGATGAATTGGGAGGAATTCGGGGTAAAACATTCAGACTACCCTGTGCAGCGTCGGAGGCAAACCCGGATCTCGCTGGTGCCGCGCTTGCGGATCTTCCAGGCGCCCCCATCCCCCATCGAGTGGCGATTCCTCGCCGATTGCCTCAGGATCAGAGTCGGTCGTGCCGCAGATGGGCCACTTCCGAAACGGAATCACCCGAGGGCTCTGATGGATGCAAGTATACCAGTAGTGCCTCATTATAAGGTACCCGGAAATAATAGGCACTCGGTTACAACGGACCGATCGCCCGGTCTCATGGACGAGCCCATGGGATCTTCAATGTCAAGTCAATCAGCTGTAGCGATCCCGGTAACGGACTTCCGGATATGACGCTAGATATAGGAGACTGATTCTAGGCCCCGGTCTTATCCCGTCCGAGGCTAATAAACTCGGTTATAGCATGAAGAACTCCGAATTTCCTGGCGAGCAGGAAATTCGGAAGCCAAAGTCTATTGGACGACTTGCAAAGTTTCTCGCTCCTCATTAGGGAGGCCGCAGCGATGTTTCCGATGCTTCTCGCGTTCGCTTCGAAACCCATCTTCGGATAGAACGGACCTCGGATGTAACAGTTAACGGACATAACAGACCGCTTCAGCCGGTCCCTTCAAGTCTGTCATGGCGAGGTTCTACAGTAGAAGTTTCCACAGGCGACGCGGCTCGTCTACCAGGTCGGGATGAGGAATCGTCCTGTTTCGAGACCCACCTAGTCATCGGATCAGCAAGGCGCTTGCAACCGAGTTGGAAGCGCGTTGAGGTTATGTCGGAATGATATCGCCCTGCGGACCCTGGAGGTTTTTTCCCATTCGCCTTTCCTCATTCATTGTCCAGTGACCGCTCCCGCGATCGAATCCCCTTCCTGGCCGATCACAGGCTAGCGGATCACGGGACGGGGTGCGGCAGCGTTCTGTCAATCATCCTCCGATAACTGTCGCCTCTTTCCATGAACACATTGACCCGCTGCCCATGCCCACCTTGACCGAACTAACACAGGATCCACCATGGCCCTTTCGTCTCGATCATTTATCGATGACCCCTGCCGGAGTCGCCGCAAAAAAATATTCCATGCGTCTGAGTTAGTTATCGGATTCGTTAAAAACGAACCGCAGTTCGAGAGTCGAACAGGAGGAGATCTGACGGCTGAAGCTCTCTCCGGCTCTTGGGGTGGCATGGAAGCCTCGATCTTTAGATTTCAATTTTTAGAACCCGAAGCAACACGCGCCCTCGTCCCCAGGATGCGTCGTTGGGCGGCGGTCCCTCGCTCGTTCGCGTCTCGGGGGCTGATCCCGATAATCGGCGCTTTTCCCCTTGGTTATGCGGATACCGTGGCCAGTGTTCCATCGCACGGGACCCGGAGAGAATCGATGCTCCTGTGGTCGCGACAAGTTACCGTCAGAAGCATGGAGAGCTCACGATGGAAGGAACGAGGGTCGCTGAAGATCATTCATGGCTATTGTGGAGGTACCGACCGATCCGTGGTTGTGACCCTACCCTCGCAAGTGAAACCAAAGGCACCTCTCCGAAATTCTCATCGAGGCGTTCTTTGTTGAGGCTTTCTTGTGAAATCGCCGAAGGATTTTTATCTCATTGCTCGATCCATTCGTCTCGTGAAGCACGGCCAACAATGGCTGAGTGAGCACCGATAAGCTCCGACTGTATGAATCATGGCCGGGAGTCCATTAGGAATACAGCTGTTTCATGTCGGATCAGGAGGCGAGTTCGACTACGAGATGTTCCTTGATGATCTCGGTGCCGATTCTCATTCGGAGATTCGATGTTCCCTCCAGCTCGAGGCGATATCCTCCGCCAGAAAGCGTGATCCTCTTGGCTGATCTACACGGAGCGACACGTCACCTTGAAACATGGTTATTCTTCACGG